TAGGTCAATATTCGTGGCTGATAAGGTGCATAGCATTCTGCTGATGAATGATGATTCCAAGAATTCGTTAAGATGTCACAAAGTTATTTTTATGAAAATCTAGTTGGGATATTGGAAACGTTTACAAAATAATTAATAGAATGAAGAGATTTTGTATTTCGTGTAAATTTTTTAATTATAAATCGCAAAGCGCTTTCGGCTAAAAAGCCATCATCAGTGCTATACCTGCAAGTAAGTAACATTTGTGAAATTTCAAAAACAAATCTAAAAAGGTAGATTACTTACTCGTCAAGTATTTACAAAAAGGTCCAAAAATTAGTGATCACAAACATCATTATGGTACAAACGGGATTATGAACAGACATACATTTAACATTATGTCTGTTCATAATCCCGTTTGTACCATAATGATGTTTGTGATCACTAATTTTTGGACCTTTTTGTAAATACTTGACGAGTAAGTAATCTACCTTTTTAGATTTGTTTTTGAAATTTCACAAATGTTACTTACTTGCAGGTATAGCACTGATGATGGCTTTTTAGCCGAAAGCGCTTTGCGATTTATAATTAAAAAATTTACACGAAATACAAAATCTCTTCATTCTATTGATCAGTTACGTGTATGCAGCTAGTAAAAATCTTCACCTACAAAATAATTCACCTCATCGATTCAATGATACTGATACATCGATAAATATTGTCCAGGTCCCGATGTTAAGCTATATTTTTGATAGCAAGGAAGTTAAAAAGAGCAAAGCAATCAGTGGAGGTATTACCACAAGAGATTATTTTTCATAAAATGATATTATGATGTCACTTTTATTTCTTGATAGATACAAAATTAGAAATTCGAGCGATAGATTAAGTGGGTATATTATAGAAAAAGAAACAAAGTACCGATATTATTGTCGAAAAAAAAATATTTTGGAAGACATTGAATTTTGAAGTTTGTCGTTGTCGAGGACAGAAGCACTGAAAGTATTAATGACTTCTGCAATGTTGTCGGACGTTCAATAATAGTTGAAACCACGTGTAAGTGCATTTTTTACGATTTATTGTCATTAGGCCTTATATGACCCATTTCTAGAAATTAATTATAGAAACAGTAAAAACACTCAGTAATCAATATGTTTATGTTTGTTTCTATGTTAGAGATTCTCGGTTTATTTCTGTAACGAATGCATTTTTCCATAATCTATATGAAGACACAATCCTGATTCTCTGGTTTATCTATTATATGAAATTTCTTGGGTTAGAACTGAAACAAATTCATATGCAATTTTTCTGATGGTTTATTCGTGTACACAGGGTATCATACGGTATAACCATCAACTGCATTGCTCTGAACAGAAACACCATTTTCATTCAATTTTAAAATTCTGCATATAATTATAAATAAAATTCTAACTCAAGAAAGTTGACAGTGACAAGTCAACAATCAAGAAAATTACATGGAACATTCTGATGCTACCGATTAACAAAAACTATTGGAAAACAAGTATAGATGATTGTGGTCAATAAAATATACCTACCTACTTTACGCCAAGAAATAACAAATAAACCGTCAAACTTAAACCTGAATGTATATCTCGGTGTATATATTATAGGAAATAATATTTTTGTTACGTAAAAATAATAATTGAGAAGCCTTTATATACCTACTTGGAATTACGAAATAGATATAGAAAATGTTTGTGTTCATCCGCTTATTTTGGAACTAGAAATATAATATCAAAATGAAATACTCAGAAAATGAGATATGGAATAATGTTTATTTTTATCTCCTCGGAAGTAGGATATGAATACATTTCAGGTTCTATCAGAAATTTAGATAACTTTATTTACGTATTTATTAATTTTATGTAAACGGTGTGTTCCGCTTCCCAATTCGAATTCAACAACTAAGTACTTGTAATTTTCTCGAAGGAAATTGTTTTCGTTGAATTGCTAGACAACGAAATTCCCGCTGAAATGACAAGTTTACTTTGACCAAGAAAAGCTCTCATCATAAGTGAAAAACTAACGAAAATCAATAAGTGAGTAGAAACATATACAAGCTGAACGATCATACGTTAATATCATAATATCTCGAGAAATAAATAATAATGTTCATGGCTATTCTTCTATTCAACAGTCATTCAAATTGATCCTCTGTTTTCTGCTCAAATTATTATTTTTTTTTTGTTGAAAATGCCTTTGAAGTCCCTATCTGCTCTAGAATCTATTGCGAGACACACTGTGTATACCAAATATTCGAAATTAACAGATTGCTTTCAATAAGTAATATTCAATTGTTATCATATCCTACTTGAGATGCTTCTTTTGCGATCCTTTTTTTTATTCATTGATTTATCTCTAGAATTTTCCGAATTACAGCTTTTTTGCTGATAACTCACGCTTATCCCACAAATTGAATTTATTGAAGGATCAGAGTACTCAAAATTGATTGGGTTGTACTCTGGTAGGATCACATTGTCTTCAAAATGACAAATGCCGTTGACCATTTGCCGTTGTGTCATTAATTAAGTGTCTTGTTTTGTTGACTGAAATTACATGAAATGCCTCAAATAAATCCTGAACAAGTAGCAAGATTAGTTGCGTTAGTAAACGATGGGCGTAGTAAACGTTATGCCGCTCGTGCAGTGGGAGTTCATGAAGCAACTGCTCGTAGAGCAATCCGCAAGTATGAACAAACAGGAAGCACCGCTCGGAGGGTCGGTTCTGGTCGCCCCCGAAAAACTTCTCCAAGAGATGATCGCTTCTTGAGATTGCGGATTTTACGGAATCGATCAAATACTGCGGTAAATGTTCAGCAAGATCTTCGCCAGATTCGTGATGTTGCAGTAAGTAAGCAGACGGTATGTAGACGTCTAAAAGAAGTTTATTTAACAGCTAGGAGACCTACAAAAGGTCCCAAATTATTGCCGGAACATCGTGCTGCTAGAAGAAATTTTGTTGAAAATTATGGACAGTGGAATAATCCTGAATGGTCGAATGTCTTGTTTACGGATGAGTCAAGGTTTTGCCTTAACATGGTGGATGAAAGAAAAAGAGTGTGGAGAAGAACTGGTGAACGGTTTAATCAAAATTTAATAACAGAATGCGAAAGTTTTAATGGTGGGTCCGTATGGTGTGGGGAGGGATTTCAATAAATGGAAAGACACCCCTTCATGTTTTTCCGGTGAGGCAGTCGATGAATGCCCAAATTTACATTGACATTTTAGAGCAGTATGTCTTACCTTATGCAGAGTTGGTGGGCAATAATTTTATATTGGTGCAGGATGATGTCCGACCACACACCGCAGCAATAGTGCGAAACTTCTTAGACGCTACTGGTATTACTACATAACAATGGCCTGCGAGAAGCCCTGATATGAATCCTATAGAACATTTGTGGGATGAATTAGGGAGAAGGGTACGTTCTCGCGAGAGGTCTCCGGAAAGTCTCGCAGAAATGGCAGATGCATTGGTGGAAGAATGGGATCGTATACCAATGGAAACGATAAGCAACTCAATTTTCAGTATGCCTCGTAGATTAGAAGTTCTTAGAGTTGCTAGAGGAGGCAATACACGCTATTAAGCAGTCATCCCAATTTATAATTTTGTGTTTATTGAAAATGTTTTCCAAAATTATTGGTACATATCAGTTTATTTCATTAGAAAATTGTTTCTCGATAAATTCAGAAAGTTGGTAATCTGCAAGGATTCAGCAAAAAAAGCTGTAATTCGGAAAATTTCAGAGATAAATCAATGTTTAAAAAAACAAAATGCTCGCAAAAGAATCCTCTTTCGTATTGTATAGTGTAGTGTGTGTAGTGTAAGTATTTTCTATGCCATTAGCCATATTACTCAATGAACACACAGGGTGAGTCAAAAATTGAGAATAAATCATGTTTCGATTTATTACACCACCATCAAGGAGGCTTTGAAAAAATGTTCACCTCTTTTTTTTTGTGAAGACAAATGCATCACCTACCAACAAATGAAAAAAAAAATCGGCCTACTATTTTTTTTAAGTAGATAGGTCAAATATCAAGTGCGTCACTTTTTTTGAAACTGAGTGTAGGATATATTATAAACATTCCGAAAGCTGTCAAGAGTCGCTATCACATTTTGTGATAGTGAACTCCCGAGTGAACTAGTTATAGGTTTGCGTTGAATACTTTGAAATGACAAAGAGGTTCATTTCAGATATTGATTGGAAATACAATTATTTTCAACATGTGCATGGCCAACTTAGTTTGTTAGATCTATGGTTTGATGTTAGCTTAATTATTATAGATTACCTCTACTTTGGTACTCATTCTCCTCATTACAACTTCCTATCAAATTAATCTGCAAGAACCTGATGCAAGGGAACCAAACTTATATACATGGAATAATAATATTCATGGTACCGACACTACCGACTACCGAGAGTAGATATTTTTCCAATCACGTTTCCGAAATTTCAAAGTATTTCGAGTATGTGATATTTCTTCGATACTGCAAAATTTTTAGACATCCTGGGATATTGTATGATGTCATAAGTTCATTTGCTGTCGCAGCATGATAATTCCATATGTCTATATAGCTTTTGCAGTGAACATGGTGGTTCGAACTCGAAATTGTCTACCGCTTTATATGTGTCTAATAGTTGTGGACGATAATAGTACCTACCTAGGTATTTATGCCCAAACAAATTATTCTATACATTTTTATAAATGTATTCCAGAATATGGATGATAAGGGAGAGTGTTCTTCGCAATGTCAGTATGCAATTATGCCTGGATTTTATGTAAATGGAACAGATCTGTCATTGCAGAACATGCATATATCGACCAAAAAATAAACACACACCAATCGCATTCTTCAAGTGCATTGGATATTGAAGATTTTTATTATTATTATTTTCGGTTCTCGAGTTACATTGGTCTCTTGTCGTCCTTAAGATGGATGCCATGTGATTGTGAAGTAGACATAACACTAGCAATGTTTGAATTCTTGTTTATTTTTTGCAGGTTATGAAGGCAGACGTGGTCATTCTGACCCTGGTGTTTTTATGTGGACTATTTGTTTATGCTGATGGATGTTCTTGTATGCCACAGCATCCGCAAGTTCAGTTTTGTAATGCAGATTTTGGTAAGTCCAACTAACTTGGGATTTTTGTCTAGACATGGACATAGTGGATGTGTGAGTATAAGATATAATTCCGGTGATGATGAATATAGAAAATCATGATTTTCATGTAGATACATTTCTCGAGTGACCAAGGGTGTAGTATAATATATATAAAGAACTTCAATATAGATTTAGACATTTGAGTTATACCATAATAGTTTTAAGATACTGTATATTAATTAATTATATAGGTCAGTGGTTCATACAGTTCGTTTGCATTATTGTGTATAATTATTATAAGATATTATGTACTGACTAAGCTAAACAATTATTGTGACAATCGGTATCATTTTATCAAAAATAGATAGAGATTGATTTTGAACTTGATGGTGAATGGTCGTATTATTACAACTCCCAACTCTCCTTATTACTAAGTTATCACATGGCGATCCTGCCTCAAGAACTATAGCAATGGAATTCTAACATAGAGAGATTCGATGGGGAAAACACAGAGCAAGGAAGAAATTGTAATTGCACAAGCGGGCAATAGTGGTGGACAAACAAACGAAGCCAAACAACACGCAAGTTTCGGTTCTACCCAGGATATTCTAACCATAATTGTCCTGATATTGTTGGTACTTGCCCTGGGATGGTTGATTTTTGTTCAATGCAAAAGGGCAATGGAAAGGAAGATTAGGAAAGAAGTCTCCAGAAGCAGAGAGCAGGTGTAATTTTCTTTTTAGGAGTATAATGGTCACACTATTGGATAAATTGGAATGATGGCTATCAATGAATAAGGATTGATATATTACATAAATTGAGAAAGATGGTGAGGAATTGTATGGGATGTCAAAGGAAGCAGATGAAATTAGATACCTACATGAAGAACTCCGAGTAATTCATAGAAATTTGAAGAAAGATAATACATACAGAAGAAATAATATTAAGGTAGTAGAATTTAAGTTAGAAGAAGTGAATGGACTGAAATTAGAATTTATTGAAAATAGGGAAAAATTTAATAGAGAGCTGCATGAACCCAAATTAGTAGATAGGATAAAATTGTATGTAGTCGATATAGAAAAATATTATGATGCTATCTACGGCATTTTAACTGGAAGGTTAAATAAATTAAAGCAAAATCCTTCAGAACTCACAGTAGATTTCAAACACGATACGTCAGACTCAGAAAAAGAAGTAAAAATGTCTGAAAAATTCGATTTGAGAACTGCTGCAGGTTTAATTCCAGTAATGAATGGATCTGAAACAGTTACTAAGCAATTGATAGATGCAATTGGTTTATATGACTCTTTATTGGATAGTGATGGCAAAACTTTATTGACAACTTATGTATTAAAAACTAGATTATCAGAAAATGCAAAGATCAGATTGAAATCATCGTATACATCTAACACACTTTTGATTAATGATTTGAAGAGCTTTTTTATATCAAAAAAATCAGCTGCGGCACTATCCACAAAGCTAAATAACGAAAAGCAAAATTCTAGGTCAATTGATGAGTTCGGAAGATCGCTTGAGGAATTGATGGTTGATCTTACATTAACACAAGCCGATGGCAATGAGCAAAATGCAAATGTTTTACGGCCTGTTAATGAAAAGATCGCAATTAATACCTTTGCGAATGGGCTTAATAATCAAAATTTGAGAACAATTATAAAAGCACGAAACTATCAGAGTTTGAATGATGCAATAAGGGGTGCAAAAGATGAGGAAATATCGTTAGGGGCACCTAGAGAAATGTTTCGGTTGAGGACAAATAATAGTTTTGCATATAGAGGTTCAAATAAGGGAAATTTAAGAAGTTATTCAAGAGGTTCGTTTCGAAATATTGATAGGAATAATAGTAATTCTTTTAATAATTCCAGTAATTATAGACAGAATCCACAAAATACAAATTCACATAGGAACTCTCCTAATGCAAGATTTCACAATAACCGGAGAGGTAACCGAGTGAGTCATAATAATGGCCAACGCGGGTACTTCATGCAAAATGATAATTCCAGAAATCAGAACATGAATTCCAGTACGAACAGAAATAACTCAAACTCCAACCCAGGTCAGTTGTTTTTTCGAGACTAACCATAGTAATCCACAATTGATAAAATTAAATGGTTTGAATTTTATCACAGTAAATTATGAAGGAAAAAATCTTAAATTTTTATTAGATACAGGTGCGACTGTTAGTGTAATTTTCGAAAAACATGTGAGTAAACATCAAAACATCGATTATTCAGAAACGATTAAAATAAATGGCATATCTGGGTCAATAAATTCGCAAGGCTCAGCAAACATTCAATTCACAGTAAATAGTAGTGTAAATATGTGTCATACATTTTTGATGATAAAGGAGTTTGAAAATAATTTCCACGGTGTTATTGGGTTAGATTTCTTTCATAAATATAATGCAACAATAGACTTCGAAAAATTCATGTTTTCATTTTATTATGGTGAGAATAGAATTACTGTCCCTATGCATGCTAACCAAGAGATATTTACTTTAATTCCAAAACGAACAGAGATAATAAAATATTTTCATGTCGACCATAACACTGATTATGTGGTTCTCGCGGATGAAATTGGAGACGGTATTTTTATTGCGGGGTCAATAGTTACTCCTGAGGCAAATAAAATACCGATTAGATTTCTGAATGTGCAAGAACGGGACGTCACCTTAAAAAATTTTAAACCAAAAATCGATTTTCTCAAAAATTACGAAGTTTGTAACTTTGGACCAAACGATAATAAATCAGTTAGCAGAATAGAAAAATTGATAGGATTATTGAATTTAAAGGAGTTAAAAGAAAATGAAAACCTCGCTTTGCAAAAAATATGTGCAAAATACTCTGACGTTTTTCTTTTAGACACTGATCCATTAACAACAACTAACATATATAAACAAAAAAATTATTTAAAGCCAAATGCATCCCCCGTGTATAAAAAACCTTATAGGTTACCATTTTCACAAAAACAAGAAATAGATAAGCAAATCAATAAGATGTTGCAAGACGGTATAATTGAGGAAGCTAAATCTGAATGGTCATCTCCTATTTTATTAGTCCCAAAAAAAGTTGATAACAATGGTAATAAGCAATTCAGATTAGTTATTGATTACAGGGGTTGTAATACTCAGCTGAAGGATGAAAAGTGGCCTTTGCCTTGTATTACAGATATTCTAGATTCCTTGTCTGGCGCTACTTATTTCTCACACTTAGATTTGTCGCAAGGATATTATCAAGTAGAATTAGATGCATCCAGTAGGCCATGTACAGCATTTACAGTGGGTAGTAAAGGACAGTATCAAATGACGCGGCTTCCAATGGGGTTGAAAATCAGCCCAAATGCATTTTCTAGAGAAATGACAATTGCAATGTCGGGACTTAATTATAAAAGCTGTTTTGTTTATTTGGATGATCTTATTGTTTTTGGTAAAAATTTAACAGAACATAATAAGAATTTGATAAAAGTTTTACAGCGACTAAGAGAAGTAAATCTAAAATTGAATCCAAATAAATGTAAATTTCTGAAAAAAGAGCTTTTATACTTAGGACACGTAGTATCTGCTGAAGGCGTTTTACCTGATCCCGAAAAGATTAAAGTTGTTCAAAACTATCCTGTACCAAAAAGTGCAGATGAAACGAGAAGATTCGTTGCATTTGCTAACTACTACAGGAAATATATTGAAAACTTTGCGGAAATTGCAACGCCACTAAATTATTTGTCAAGGAAAAATGTTGAATTCAATTGGACATCTGAATGCCAACTGGCATTTGATACATTAAAAACAGCGTTAATCAATCCTCCTGTATTGCAATATCCTAATTTTTCTCCGGATAACACGTTTATTTTGAAAACTGATGCATCTGGTCATAGTGTAGGTGCAGTTCTTTCAAATATTGATGATAGACCTATAGCATATGCAAGCAGAGCATTGAATAAAGCTGAAAAACAATATTCCACAATTGAAAAGGAGCTTTTGGCAATTGTTTTTGGTATAAAACATTTTTCTTGCTATTTGTACGGTAGAAAATTCATTATATATACAGACCATCGACCGTTAGTTTATTTATTTGGCATGGCAAACCCTTCCAGTAGACTAACAAAATTTAGGTTGCTAATAGAAGAATTCAATTTTGATATAATTTATATAAAAGGCAAAAATAATGTAACGGCTGATGCATTATCTCGAATTCAATTTTCATGTGACGAATTAAAAACCATGGCAAATAAAGTAGAACAAACATTATTCGCTATTACCAGGCAACAAAGTAAGAAGTTCAATCATAACGAGGATACGGTCGATTTTAATAATTTTGAAAGCGACAGGATTGATCACCCTGGAGTTGTTGAATTATTAAAACGTCCTAAAAACTCATATGAATTGAGTTCACTTGCTAAACGAAATGTTGAAAACGTAATGAGAAACGAAAAAATTGAAATTCAATTGGGTAATATTATTCTTTTAAAGAAATCAGAGGTCATTTATTATGTATTGCAAAATTCAGATTCCCGATCAGCGTTCGTGCACGGTACCTACATCGTTGAGAGACCTGAATACAATTTGCAAAAAATATGATATTCCGGAATTGGTTGTTATTAAAAACCAAGAAAATGCACAATTATTAAGTTCTATAAAGAATAATATCGAAGAGACTTCAAAATTTGTGTTATAAAGGACGTCCAAAGAATTACTGATGTAGAGAGTCAAAGAATTATTCTCAATGATTTTCATATCCTGCCTACTGGCGGACATGCGGGAATAAATAGGATGTACAATAACGTACGAAAATATTATTTTTGGTCCAATCTACATAGGGATGTTGAAGAATTCGTTAAACATTGTGATGATTGTCAACGTTTTAAACATTCTAGGCCTAATATACAACCAATGTCAATCACAACGACGGCATCTTCAGCATTCCAGAACGTATATTTAGATTTAGTTGGCCCTTTAGAGGAAGATAATGAAGGTAATAAGTATATTTTAAGCTTACAATGTGAGCTAT